TTTCGTCAACAAGATTACTACGCTTGTATGGGAGCGCTTGAAGCAGCAGCTCCTCATCGCCACCTTCCGGCCGCTGCTTTAGATGGTTTAGAGCTATTTCGACTTGCGCCTTATAGGCACTATTCTTCCTGCGAACTTTGATAGCGTCCAAGCTACGATTAGGGACCGCTGTCAGCAAATGCTGATTCATGAAACGGACGCCTGCTATGATGGCCTTCGCTTCATGTTCCGCCATGAGGCGCACTTCTTCGCCACTCCACGGTCTTTTAATCTTGTCGACGTTAATCTCGGTGTTCGTTTGCTCGGGAGGGGCTGCCTTCCGATGGGCTCCTAATCCTATCTTGGTCGAAAAAGCCATAATGCAATTTAGACACTAGTGTTGTTGCGTGTTATGCCCAGCCGCGCTAGTAGATGGATGACTGGCACTCGAACCTACGGATGACATTGGAGGGTCGCAAGTAAGAATAGCAGGACCGACGGACCGAGGCTGCCGCCGTAAATTATATTCTTCTTCTTTTTCCTTTGGGTCTGCTAAGTACAGATCGACGGGCTGGCAACCCGCCGATCCTATGTTTCGCCGTTGCCTCCGTTAGCCTCCAACCACTGGTTGGAGTTTCCAGCGAGAACCACGAGGAGGTGGAGGTCGACTTGGGTAGAGTAGAGTAGAGTAGAGTAGAGTTTATTTATAAAAGACTACGGACTCGAGGTCCTACCTAGTCCAGGCAAGTTACAATAGTAATTTTGAGCGCTGTTACATAGAGGTTTGGATTGCCTGGGGTGAGCGAAGTGTGTGCTTCGTACATAAAATAAATAGTTACAAGTATATACTTAAATCTAAAAGTTACAAAAATAAAAGATAAAATAGAGCTAACAAAATAACATTATGTACAAGTCGAGCGAAATAAAAATAAATAGATTACGCACTTACATATTGATTAGGATACGCTAACAGTTCGTGGTACATACAAAATTCACTTTACGCTAGTACAAAGACACGCTTAAACATATAGTCGTACAAAAGTTGTCGGAAACTTGGACTCATGATGGATTTACGTATGTTGTGGCCAATACTATTCCATAGTCGTGCTGCTTCGATGCAGAACGAGAGCTTAAAGGTCACTTTCGAGGCGTGCCGAACAACGAAATCATACTCCGAGCGTCTTTTAGAGCCGTATCTGTCAGAAGGACGAAATTGCAATTTATCTACGAGATAGCGTGGTTCTTGGGATCGAAGCAGAGACGCAAGAAAGCGTAAAACCACAAAGTTTCGATGCTCGTAGTATGGCAGAATGTTATTCGCTTTATAGTCGGGCGTAATGTGCTCGTGTTTCTTGGTGCCAGTCACAAACCTTAACGCGGCGTTTTTACATCGAGAAAGCCGTGGGTGCGAGAGGCCTTATTTTGCATCATCACCCCTGCAACTATGCTCCTCAAGAAACAATGACTCGCGCACATGTTAGACTCCTTGGTCCGTGTTTCAAGACGGGTCCTGAAAGTACCCAAAGCATTAGTATCGCCGACCGGTAAAGAGCCTGTCGGGGAGCACCGCCTGCCAACAGCTGGTCAGGCCCGAGAACGGCGCTTGGTCCGTCACAACGGGAAACACTGACACTCGCTTGCGGCGGGTCCGACGCAGCGCAAAAAATTGCGTGCGGCCCGATATCGTTTTTCGAGTTATACCGCCGGGCAGCCGGTCGGGCCTCCGAGGGTCTCGCGCAATCACGTCTCGCGCCGTGGTAACTCGCGCATAGACTACCACCCGGGCCGTAGACCGACACCCAACGGGTCGCGACGTCCTACTAGGGGAGAAGTGCACGCCGGCGCCGCCGGAAGTTAAGATGACAGTCGCGTGCCAAGCGCGCGACCAAAATCGCACGGTGGACATCACGAACAGCCGTGAGGCCAGCTTCGCCGACGATGAATCTCCCCTTTCGATCTTTCGGGTTTCTCAGGTTTACCCCTGAACGGTTTCACGTACTCTTGAACTCTCTCTTCAAAGTTCTTTTCAACTTTCCCTCACGGTACTTGTTCGCTATCGGTCTCGTGGTCATATTTAGCCTTAGATGGAGTTTACCACCCACTTAGAGCTGCACTCTCAAGCAACCCGACTCTGGGGAGAGATCCTCCCGCGGCGCGTCTCGGTCGCTACGGGCCTGGCACCCTCTACGGGTAAGTGGCCCCATTCAAGATGGACTTTGACGCGAGTCAACGCCACGGGATGGTTGGATCCTCTCGAACACTACATTTCCCAGCGGCAATAACCGCGGGATTTGGTGCTGGGTTCATTCCTGTCCGATCACAGCTACTAAGGAAACCCTGTTCAGTTTTGCCTGGCACCCTCTACGGGTAAGTGGCCCCATTCAAGATGGACTTTGACGCGAGTCAACGCCACGGGATGGTTGGATCCTCCCGAACACTACATTTCCCAGCGGCAATAACCGCGGGATTTGGTGCTGGGTTCATTCCTGTCCGATCACAGCTACTAAGGAAACCCTGTTCAGTTTTTTTTCCACCGCTTAGTAATATGCTTAAATTCAGCGGGTAGTCTCGCCTACTCTGAGGTCGTCGTTTTTATTTTTAATATTTCTTTTATATATCGACGCAAGAAGAGAACACACGTATCCTCCCTTTTTTCACGGGCTGCGGCGGCGATCGCGAGCTTGCTTTTACACGGGCGCATGTCGTTTCTCCCTTTTTTTTCTTTTGCATTAAAATAAAAGATCATGGACACGACGACCGGCCACGACCGCCGCAACACGTGCGTTATCCCGGCCAAACAGCGCTTCGGCTCGATCTTCCCTTTCTTTTCCATTCACAATTTTCATCAAAATGTGGGAAGACTAGCGTGTGCGCGTGCCTTCGTTTAACGCCAGTCTCTCTGCGCCCGGCGGGATATGAGAACAGTTTGATATGGATTTCGACTTTTATAATAACCTTCGCGCGCGCACACGACGAATGTATGTACATGCAAACTCTGAGAGCAAACATTTTTCTTTCTTCTCACCACGGTTCGCGAGTCGAAGCGACATCAGCGAAACACGAACTCTGACGCGCGTTTACAGCGTCTGCTGTTTGCGCGTAATGGCTTTCCTTTTCATTCATTCTTCAAGCGAAACCAATCGAATATTATTTTCATTCTCTTCTCTTAATCTTTCTTCGTTGATATATATTTTCATTATAACGGGAAGAGGATCCTGAAACGAAAAACCCCGAGGACACCACACAGCGCAAAACGCGGGAAGAAGAGCGCGACCGTCGTCAATCCATCCGCATATATTTCCTTTTCATTCATTCTTCAAGCGAAACCAATCGAATATTATTTTCATTCTCTTCTCTTAATCTTTCTTCGTCGATATATATTTTCATTGTAACGGGAAGAGGCTTCAGAAACGAAAAACCCTGAGGACACCACACAGCGCAAAACGCGGGAAGAAGCGCGCGACCGTCGTCAAGCCATCCGCATATGAAAATATGCATGATGAGACGAGACGTACGCGAAGGGCTTCCTCCACCGTCGTTGGGTGTAGCGTCCGGCCTGGGGATTTTGCTTTCTCGCGTCGTTGGCTTTCCAATTATGCGGACACCGAAGAAAACCCCAACGCAAAACAACAACACGGAATAAGAAATAGCACGATCGACGTATCAAAAACCACACGTAATATTAATACGTATGGAGAGAGACACGTACGTAAAGGGTTTCCCCATAATATTATTATTATTATTATTATCGATCCGTGTTCGTTGTTAAGGGGGGCCCGCCCCGTGTATCTTTCGCATCATTTCAAGCGACGCCACGACGAATCGTGACGAGGCGCCCAATCGTTCGCTATTACTCCCCATCTGATTTCTCTTGTTTAAAAGAGTGCGAGGAGCAAGCAGTCTGGTAATGTGTAAACGACCCTCAGCCAGGCGTGGGCCGGGAATTGTATCCGCGGACCGCAATGTGTGTTCGAAATGTCGATGTTCATGTGTCCTGCAGTTCACAAGTTGACGCGCAATTGGCTGCGTTCTTCATCGACCCACAAGCCAAGTGATCCACCGTTCAAGGTAATCATATATATATGTATATACTTTTTGTTATACATTGATTGGCATAGCGCACCGGCCGTGTGTCTAACGCGGTCGCGGTATAACACAGCGGCGCGCTTTACCAATCAGCTTTAATATCACTGATCGTCGCTTGCAACGTTCGGTTTTCCGGGCGAGAGCGTCCACCACCGCCGCCCTTTAACGGGCATAGACAGGGATATGGTGCACCGCCACAGGCAGTTGCGTCGCTCCTGGGAGTCATCCGTAACGGCAGAGCGTGTCGTGGTGTGTGTCTTTTTCTTTATACGATTGTCTTATTGGGCGAAAGTTCATTGAAAAACCTGTTCGATCGACGAGAGTCCTCGCAATGCGTAACACACTCAGCGTGAAAAAAGGGAACGCCGCCGGCGCGATCGGTTGAACGCGGAACGGAGACGAGAGACCGAACATTTCTCGCTGTACGTAACAATTTCGCGCCTTCTCGCATGGAAGAATTTTCTACATAGCGAGTCGGGGGTTGCTCGGCGATGTGCCGGTCGCTCTCTGTTGTTCTCTTCAGTAACCGCGATTACCCGCGCTCGCAAAGTTTCCCAAGATAAGTTGTGTGATCGGCGAGAGAGTACACGTCCGCGCTCGAATGTACCCAAGGACCGCAACTCTGCGGGGAGCGGCCTCACTAAGGACGACGACGGACTGAACTTTCCAACCACGCACGTCACGGACACGCGTTACGCGGGCCACCTGCCCCAGAGGGCGGCAACACGCTGTGAACGGGGTGACGGGGGTCGAGGAAGTCCGAGGGTCCGAAGGAAACCTGCTCTCTCTCGCGGTGCGCCTGTGGCAGTAAGATTACCCAAAGACGTATTGTGCATGATCGCTGATACGTTTTTAAATCTTTCTTCTTTCTCTATATAGTTCCTTTTTTTCTTTTTATTCGGACAACGAGTCGCTGCATAAGATTCTCTTTGCGATAATGATCCTTCCGCAGGTTCACCTATGGAAACCTTGTTACGACTTTTACTTCCTCTAAATGATCAAGTTTGGTCATCTTCCCGGCAACATCGGCAATGCCGAAACATTGCCGCGCACCAGTCCGAAGACCTCACTAAATCATTCAATCGGTAGTAGCGACGGGCGGTGTGTACAAAGGGCAGGGACGTTATCAACGCGAGCTTATCACTCGCGCTTACTGGGAATTCCTGGTTCATGGGGAATAATTGCAAGCCCCAATCCCTAGCACGAAGGAGGTTCAGCGGGTTACCCGGGCCTTTCGGCCAGGGAAGACACGCTGATTCCTTCAGTGTAGCGCGCGTGCGGCCCAGAACATCTAAGGGCATCACAGACCTGTTATTGCTCAATCTCGTGCGGCTAGAAGCCGCCTGTCCCTCTAAGAAGATTTGTTTGTACGTCGGTAGTAAAAACCGCCCGACCGAAGTCGAGGGCCTTCGAGATACCATGAATTACGCCTATTTAGCAGGCTAGAGTCTCGTTCGTTATCGGACGTAACCAGACAAATCGCTCTACCAACTAAGAACGGCCATGCACCACCACCCGCCTATTTAGCAGGCTAGAGTCTCGTTCGTTATTGGAATTAACCAGACAAATCGCTCCACCAACTAAGAACGGCCATTGACCACCACCCACCGAATCAAGAAAGAGCTATCAATCTGTCAATCCTTCCGGTGTGCGGGCCTGGTGAGGTTTCCCGTGTTGAGTCAAATTAAGCCGCAGGCTCCCCTCCTGGTGGTGCCCTTCCGTCAATTCCTTTAAGTTTCAGCTTTGCAACCATACTTCCCCCGGAACCCAAAAGCTTTGGTTTCCCGGAAGCTGCCCGCCGAGTCATCGGAGGAACTTCGGCGGATCGCTAGCTGGCATCGTTCATGGTTAGAACAAGGGCGGTATCTGATCGCCTTCATCAGCTTTGCAACCATACTTCCCCCGGAACCCAAAAGCTTTGGTTTCCCGGAAGCTGCCCGCCGAGTCATCGGAGGAACTTCGGCGGATCGCTAGCTGGCATCGTTTATGGTTAGAACTAGGGCGGTATCTGATCGCCTTCGAACCTCTAACTTTCGTTCTTGATTAATGAAAACATTTTTGGCAAATGCTTTCGCTTCTGTCCGTCTTGCGACGATCCAAGAATTTCACCTCTAACGTCGCAATACGAATGCCCCCATCTGTCCCTATTAATCATTACCTCGGGGTTCCGAAAACCAACAAAATAGAACCGAGGTCCTATTCCATTATTCCATGCACGCAGTATTCAGGTGAAAGTAGCCTGCTTTAAGCACTCTAATTTAGGTCCTATTCCATTATTCCATGCACGCAGTATTCAGGCGAAGGTAGCCTGCTTTAAGCACTCTAATTTGTTCAAAGTAAACGTACCGGCCCACCTCGACACTCGGTAAAGAGCACCGCGATGGGATATTAGTTGGGCCGCCCCCCGTGAGGAGCTAAGCCCACCGGTAGTACGTCCCACAGTCATGCCAGTTAAACACCGCGAGCGATGAACCGACAGCGTGGGACACAGATTCAACTACGAGCTTTTTAACCGCAACAACTTTAATATACGCTATTGGAGCTGGAATTACTGCGGCTACTGGCACCAGGCTTGACCTCCAATGGATCCTCGTTAAAGGATTTAAAGTGTACTCATTCCGATTACGGGGCCTCGGGTGAGTCCCGTATTGTTATTTTTCGTCAATACCTCCCCGTGCCGGGAGTGAGCAATTTGCGCGCCCGCTGCCTTCCTTAGATGTGGTAGCCGTTTCTCAGGCTCCCTCTCCGGAATCGAACCCTGATTCCCCGTTACCCGTTACAACCATGGTAGGCGCAGAACCTACCATCGACAGTTGATAAGGCAGACATTTGAAAGATGCGTCGCCGGTACGAGACCGTGCGATCAGCACAAAGTTATTCAGAGTCACCAAGGCAAACGGTGGACGGGACGAACCCGCCACCGATTGGTTTTGATCTAATAAAAGCATTCCTCCCATCTCTGGTCGGAACTCTGTTTGCATGTATTAGCTCTAGAATTACCACAGTTATCCAAGTAAATGTGGGTACGATCTAAGGAACCATAACTGATTTAATGAGCCATTCGCGGTTTCACCTTAATTTGGCTTGCCCTGAGACATGCATGGCTTAATCTTTGAGACAAGCATACGACTACTGGCAGGATCAACCAGGGAGCTTCGCGTTTAAAAGTTTTTATGTACACTGTACAACGAGATAGCTCTGTTTCTGCGGGACTTCTTGGTTATCCGCCGTCTCAAGGGGAGATTAGAGACTGACCCCTAACCCGTCGCCGAAGAGGCTCAACGTTGAGTACGCTACAGAGAACGGCGCGTATTATGCTTCAGAGAGACAGAGAATTGAGTGTTCGCCGTCGCAAGAGAATAGAGTGACAAACCCAAGTGCATCAGAGTATTTTTATTATTTTATATACGGCTTTTCCTTCATTCGTGTCGAGGACAAGCCAGGAGGAACACTCAGAGGCAGCCCTCAAAACCTTACAAAATTGAGTGTTCTCTCTCTCACTCTTTG